TTCAAAACACAAACCTTGATGAAAAAAGCTGTTGCGTGGAGAAACAAGTTGAGGTCCTACCAGGGACATGGTAGAGGTCAAACTCAGAACTTCTTGCTTATGAAGTGAGTGCTTTACCATAAAAAAGACATAAAAAAGTGGGAGCTTGTTTTACTTTTTGTTTTTTTCTGTTCGGCAACAATTCTCACATTCATATTTTTTTGAGTAATAGTTTTATATATTGAGTTTTGTTGACATAAAAAAAAGATCCGACATTAGTGTTCCTCTGAATTTTTTTTATTGATATCCTTATTTTATTTCACTTTTTCTGAGTACTAACACAAAATACTTAAAAAAAACATTTTGAAAATTAGAAAAAAAGAGAAGGATGCATTGTGCATTTTATAATAGTAAATTTGCGCATGCCTTAATTTTTGAGTAAAAATTTTTTAATCCAACCTAGTATCCAGGAAAAAAAAAAAACCTATCACTATGAGAAAATAAGAGATTTTTCTTAATTGTTTTTGAAAAATGCCACAACTCTATAAAATATTTTTTGAGTATGTCCTAATAAAAACAATTTATTAATTTCTTTATTAAAAAACTTTTTTTATGTGTTATAAAAATACTAAACTTTGTTTAAATAAGTTTTAAAACAACTGTTGCAAGTTGAAACATAGAAAAAACCAGCAGAATTACTCTGGCTATTTTATTTATTTTTTATATTTTAAGTACTTATCTATATATAGAATTTTGTACAACTATAAAAAAAATGTTGAACTTTTATGTATGGTTTGTTAGAGAATGACAAGTTTGTTAGAAAATGCCAAGTTTGTTAGAGAATGTCAAGGTAACATTCAAGTAACTAACTCAGCTGCTCTAACAATTTTGGCCTTACTTAAAACAAATTTTTTCACTTTTAGTTATAACAGTAATAAAATGTTTTTTAAAAAATATACACATATTTAAATGCAGCAAAACATCGTTACTTTCTTCAATAGCTTCAATTAAAATAACTAAGTATGCTATTAAAGAAGGTAATTATGTTTTATCGTGGTTTTTGCATGCGTTACAAAAGCTTTTTGTATGTTTTGCCAAAATATATATAAAAAAATATATAAAACTAATAGAATATATATAGAACTATAATGTTTATTATAGTTTTTATTTTTTATTGAGGGTTTAACAAGACCAATAAAATGATATTTTTATAAGTTATCATTAAATACTTAATATGATATAATTTTATTTAAAAGTTTTAAAAAAGAAATGTCAAAACAACTTTTGTTTTATTTTTATTTACTTAAAGGTTATACATTTTTTTAATAGTATATAAATTAAACAAACTAAATAAATTAAACTACTTGTATAAAAATTCACTATTTTGTATCATCAGATAATAGTTAACAATCAGGTCCTGGATATATCATTAATTTGTGCGCACTTTGCAAATGCAAAAATTTTTTTTTTGAAAAATAACAATTGATTAAATTCAATAAGCACCTTACATAACTTATTAACCAGAATAAAAATTATTTGAAAATAAAACTTCCTTATTTGACATATATCTCTTAAAATTAGACGTTCACCAATAAATAAAGATAAAAACGTCAACATTTAAAGAAAAAAAAATTGTATTGCCCTGTATATATCAACCCTCCGAAAAATGAGGTCAGCAATAATATGCCAACCACAATCTTTTAGTGGTCAGCTAAAAAAAATTTAATACAAAGGTCTTACCATTAAACATTTTTTTGCCGACATCAAACACTTTAAGCATTGCGACCCTAATTCCGAGGGGTGATTTATATATATATATATAAATATATATACATATATGTAAATACATATATATATATATATATATATATATATATACATATATATATATTTATATATATATATATATATATATATATATATATATATATATATATATATATATATATATATATATATATATATATATATATATATATATATATATGAACTTAATTTTAACCTTCACATTCAAAACAAGGATTCTCAAGTCGAAGACGACATGATGCACAAAACTTTTTTTTAGAACTGTTGCAAAGTTTTAGACTATGTGCTTGAGGAATCTAAAAAAAAAAAAAAAATCAGAAAATAAAAAAAAATAAAACATACTTTGTATAAAATAATAGTATTACAAAAACCAGTTAAATAAGAACCTGGATAGGTGATGAAATTGTTGCATTGCATGGAGCAACTAATGCTGATTGACATTTTTCATGAGTTACAAACTTGCATTCTTAAAACAAAGTAAAATTTTAAGAATAGTTTATTTTGAAAGTGGCAATTTTAGAATGATTAAGTAATTATAATGTTTTTAGAACACCTGGCAAAGGTATTCTAAAAACATTAGTCCAACCCTATAAAGCTATATCTAAAAAACTTTATTTATTAAAGTAGTTTTAATTAAATATTTTTGTAGTATTTAAAAAAAAACTATCAACAAAAAAAACCTTATTTATTAAAATACTATTAATATTAACTTTATTAAAATAAAATATTAACATTAAAAACAAAAAACATTTGCATCAATAAAAGATATAAAACAACTTACTTAAACATTGTAAACCTTGATTTGTGATACCCCATAATAAATCTGAACAATGCTGACAGTATGTTGGCTTGTGAAATGTTTTCAATGTAAGACAATGACCTGCATTACCTGACATATTTTCTATCATTTTTACGTGAAAAATGTAACTAAAGATTGTATTGTTAAATTGTAACAAAATGGTATTTACTAGACAATAAATAACCATGTTGCTAAGTAACATATACAAATGTAAATATTTGTTGTAAAACATTAAATAAAAGATACGATAATAACTCATTAAATCATCATCATCATCATCATCACTATCACCATAAACAATTATCATTGTCATTATCATCATAACCATTGCCATAATCATCATTATTGTCATTACATAATCATCATCATCATCATCATCATCATCATCATCATCATCATCATCATCATCATCATCATCATCATCATCATCATCATCATCATCATCATTGTCATTATCATCATCATCATCATCATCATCATCATAATTGTCATCATCATCATCATTATCATCATCATCATCATAAAAATATTTTTTTAGTTTAATAAACATGTTTTAACATTATCATCTTCAGGTAAAAAAAAAGTAAATAATATGAAGAAAAATTACAAAATAAATAACAAGATAAATAAAAATTATTGTTAACTATTGTGCATATAAAATACCTGTAATAATGTAACATGCAGTTCAATATAAATATATAGCTGTATATAAATATCTAATTTAATAAATATTATCAAATTAAATAGTTATATATAAATATATATACAAAATAAAATTGTTTGTTTTATCAACAAGAATAAATAATGTACGATATCGATTTTTGTTCTGCTAAACTTTCATTGGATTAAGCATCAATTTTAATGGAGATATTAAAAGTCAACTTTTAATGGAAATTTAATGTCAGAATTTTCACGCTTTATGTACTCACTTTCATTGATTTAACAAGAGTTATGTATTTTTGATTAGGAGATGTACAGATTCACCAACACTTTATGTACTCACTTTCATTGATTTAACAAGAGTTATGTATTTTTGATTAGGAGATGTACAGATTCACCAACACTTTATGTACTCACTTTCATTGATTTAACAAGAGTTATGTATTTTTGATGAGGAGATGTACCGATTCACCAACACTTTATGTACTCACTTTCATTGATTTAACAAGAGTTATGTGTTTTTGATTAGGAGATGCACAGATTCACCAAAACTTCATGTACTTTAAGCTAATTTATCAGAATCCATCATAATACCTTCATTACATTTCTATAATATTAAAAGTATATTTACACAGATTGATTTAACTTTTTTCTTGATTTTGAACTGATTAATATAAATATTTATAGATATTTATCAAGTTTAAAAATAATACAAAATATTGTTTACCATTACACACTCTTGTGTTTCATAATTTGATCTGATACAATTACAGATCAAAATTTAATGACCTATTTACTTAATACTTTGTACTTTATAGTATTAATATATTGTTGTAATTTTTAACTGTACCTTTTAAGTAAAAGTCAATACCATACCTTTGATGGGATCTAAAATTATACCACTAACACAAATAAGTGTATTAAATATTATTGTATATATAGAGGGCTCAAAATAATGATTTTTTTGTTCAGGGCCATTTGTCCAATAAATACTTTAATTTTGGCGGACATGTCAAACAAAACCCATTAAAAATAATTACTTATTGTAAAGTCAGGGTCATGCATATAATGTTTTGCTTTTACAAATCAACATGTGTTGATAACTTAAGCGTTTCGAAAATACAATAAAAAAATTAAAAAATTCTATTTGAGAAAAGAAAATCTTAAAAAAAAATAATAATAAACTTAAAAAACTAAAATTTAAATAGAAAATAAGTTTTTATATTATGTAAAATACTTTTTAAAGAATGTTTTCTTATTACTTTACTAAATAAAGTAACAAATTATTTCCAATTGTTGTTTACAATAAACCCATTTTATTTAAATTATCAAAAAATATTATATGTAATTTTACTTACACAAATATGTATTTTTTATGAAAAACATAAATCTTTTAAAATGTTTTCTATGAATAACTTTAAAAACAAGTTAAATAGCAAAAAACTAGCGCAATAACAAACTCAAATTTAAATTTAAAAACTCAAAAAATTAAATAGCGTAATAAAAAGTACTGGTTTTTATAAGCATTAAAATAACTATTACCTTAAAATTTTAGCAAAAATAAATTTAAAAGAGGTTTTAAAAGCTAAAATATTCTTTGAAATTTTTATAAACCATCACACAAAAAATCAAATAAATACTTATATAATTTAAATGTATAATATCTAATTGTAAAGTTTTGATATAAATGATAAAAACCATCTTTTAAAAAAGGAATTAGCTCAAAAAAATGCTGTAGTTTATTAACATAACTGTGTATTTAACTTTCTTTTCTGTTTTATATATAAAATGAAAAGTTTAAAAAATGAAGTTTTCATACTATACCAAACTTACTAATAGTTTTGGAATACTTAAAATAAATATAAAATAAATGCAGACAAAATATGGATCAATTATTATAAGTAGTATTATACTTTTTTAGAAATACTATTTTTACTAGTACAATATACTTACCTAACTGTATACATGACCTACATCCTAAAGTAGTATATAAAGATTCACAAACACACACATATATATATACACACATACAAATACACAAATATATACATTTTTTTACTTAATTTTTGTTATTCAGTAAAAATATGAAAAATACCTCAAAAGAAAACTAACTATTTTGATGGGCTGCATTCCTTATTTAGACAGGTAGAAAATATTAAATTTACACTTTTTTTAAAAGATAGAAATTATTTTATTAAGTCATTTTATTTATCACATTTACTCAACACAAGTAAATATATACATAAAATTTTTAAAATAAAACGAATATAATAATGAACACAAATAAAATGAATGCCACTTGTTCCAACAATTCAAGACTGAATCAAGGCATAAATGTACATTGCAAAATGAGCAAAAAACATGTGATCTACAAATACATTTTGAATGGCGATGGGACTGACTAACTAAAGTAGCTTATTAAATCTTTTCAGAGCAACTTTTGCAATCTCTTGGCTTATTGTTCACTAAAGGTTTATGAACTCCAACACTTGTATATCATAATGTTATGTGTTTATTTGAATTACTAGGTCTTCCACTACCTTAAGATCTAGTATTTCCTACTAACTGTTCAAAAAGTTTCTTATGAAAACTTTGATGACTGCAAGCATGATGGTCAGTAAACCAAGACTCAAGTACAAAAGTATTATGAACACATATTTCCAATAGGAGGCAAAAGAATCGCCTATATCATTTATTTGATTTTCTTCCACAATTATAATACTTTACATTACTTTACTCATAGATGAGTATTTGGTTTTATGAAAATCCTGGAAATTTTTTTTCTATGATAATCCAGGAAAATCCTGGCAAAAATATTTAATTAAAAATTTATCGCATTTAACTAACAAATGGAATTATTTAACTTTTTACAAAAGGGATTTCTAATATTCGAAAAAGTTTGAATGAATTAAATTGAATGAATTAAATTGTTACGAAAATTGATCTCAAGAAAATTTTAATTATAGAAAACATATTTGTTTAAATGCAAAAGTTGTCGTATGTAAAATTTTATGTAAAAATATATTAATTTTTTTTCAAATTAATATAAAAAAACATCCGGAAATTTTTGGAAAAATTAAAGGTGTTTTAAGTGAATTTTCGGAATTCCGGGAATTTCCAGAAAAAATTCATCTATGTTTACTAAAAGATGAGATAGAAAATAACCATTGTTTTTGTCTCCAGTAGTCATGAATGCGAGGAAGTTTTATTATTCTTATCACTAAACAGATTACTATGAATATTTTGATATTATTTGACATAACATCAACCCGTATCACTCTATGCTTTATAGGAGAGGATTGTAACCTTCTTGAATGATAATGATTTGTTCCAGTGACAGGTTTTTGTATTAAAACGTAATGAAAATACAACAAAAATAAATGGATTGGTTAGATATTGCCATCACAATTAGGTATTGCAGACTTTTTAAATGTTGGTCATAGTGTTGCCATAAATGGAATAATAGTTCGAGTAATTTTAATTTTTTTCCACTCTCTGTTGTCTTTACTAATATTAGGTTTCTTAGTCTTAATGGTAAGAGGTTTTTTATTTGTCTTGATAAAGATTGATTTTATGGTCAGAATTGTTGGTTGTTTACATATTTTTCTTTCCTTATTTACAGTAACATAGTTATTAACAAATGTTATTGTCCTTTATTATCATTAGTTCCTGAGTAATTAACAGCTAAGTCCACATCTGTTTTTTCTGTTGAATCATCTTTAGAACTAACATTATCTCCAGACGATGACAATCAAACTATTTCTGATGATGACCGACTTGCTGACAATGGAGCTGTTGCTGAGCAAATAACAGCCATATTCTCTTGAAATATGATGTCATCAGACTCTGAAAATTCACAAGACATATCCATATTATCATCCAATTCATCAAAAATTTGAAGAACTTCATTCAGATCATTTATAATTTTACTTCTCAAAGCTGTCTGCAATAAGAAAAGTCTAACAGTTACATTTATTTTTATCAATAACCTTTATTGTTTTAAGCATAAAAACAATCCCTAAATTAACAGTTCCTACTCTCCTAGGTTTAACTTATGTCTATGAGCACAAAAGGTTAATACTTAACATTAAATAGGATTAAACAACAACTTTTAGAAAGATATTGTGATAAGTATATTATAGGCGCAAATATGTGCGCCTTTGGCATGAAAGGCTTAATGGTATCTAATTTTATCTATTATATAGTTGGAGGTGTCTTAGTTACTGTGTTAGCTCACCTGTAATTTACTTTATATATATGTTTGTGTTCTATATGAACCTCTGGTGTGATGTTCACTTGCGGATAAGTGTCTATTAGTATGTTTGCTTTCTATCTGATTTCCGATGTGGTATTCATTCATTCCTTAGCTCCTATATGTATGTTTGTGTTCTGTCTGAACCTCATCGCAGTATTCAGTAAGTTTCTATATATATATATATATATATATATATATATATATATATATATATATATATATATATATATATATATATATATATATATATATATATATATATATATATATATATATATATATATATATGTTTTTGTTTTGTCTGAACCTCTGGTGCAGTGTTTTTTCACCCATAAGTTCCTGTAATGTAAAGAATCTCAAAATTAATGAAAGATTTGAATTTGCCACCTTTTTTGTGGTAAATTGTTGACAACTCTAAAAAAATAAAAATAACTTGGCAGCTGATAGTTTAGGGTAAGTACAAATGGAGCATTATACGAAAGAACAACATGCTTTCATTGTTGAACAATATTTCCAAAATAATGAAAGTTTAGCAGCCATAATTTGAAAAAATTTTCCAAAACATGGTTGGTATTGGGATTTAACTTTGTCAACTGTGAAGAGGGTAATTAGAAAATTAGCATCACCAGTTGATCCAGACTGGATTAACTGGTGATGCTAAACGTATTGGTTGTCAAATGTCAATATTAAAGCAGTGGGTGAGAATATTTTTGAAAGTCCAGGAACATCAACTCGACATTGTGGAAAAGATTTGCAAATTTTATGAAATTTTCTATAATGTATACTCACTGAAAATCTCCATCTCCTTGCTTACAAAATTCAATTGACACAAGAACTGAAGTCTAATGACCATGCAAAGAGGAGAGATTTTGTTGAATGGATTATTGAACATCAACAAGTGTATGCCTAAATAAAAAAATAAAAAATTATTTTTAGCGTTCAAGCACATTTTCTTCAATTGGGGCAATTAAAAAAGCCTTTATGGCTTTGGTAATTGCTAAAATTGCTGCATTTGGGGTTCAGAAAATCCATTTTTATTTATCGAAAAAGAAATGCATCCTCAAAATGTCACTGTTTAGTGCAGATTTTGAGCTGGAAGTATCATTGGATCATACTTATTCAAAAATGAAACTGACTAAGCAATAAAGGTAACTGGTACTTGATATCGTGACATGATAACATAGTTCTTTCTGCCTAAACATAATGATATTAATGTGGATGACATGTGGTTTCACATACCATACAGCCTGAGAAACAATTTAGATACTGCATGAGACATTTCTGTGTACTTGCTCCTTTCAGTGATAAGAATAGGCTCTCTAGATAATGTCATTTGACACTATTGAGTTTCTTTTTATGGGATTATTAGAATTCAAAGGTCTATGGTCTATAAAGGTCCATCAAGCCATAACTAGGCGTACACTGAAGGAGGAAATTAAACGCTGCATCAACAAAATTTAGCCACATTAATGCAACACGGTAATGGAAAATTGACAAAAGAGTGCATATGTACCAGCAAAGCTGTAGAGGCCATTTGCCCAATGTGTAACTCCATACATAACTCTATCCTGGGATTATGCATGGAATCAATTCAAATCTTGAGTTAATTATGGGACTTCCTATTATCTCTTAATGAAGACATAGCTCTAAAATCAGTTTAATGATCTGAGGCAGGTTACCCCAACTCTATGGTAGCTCTCAGATAGGCTGATTCCATTAACAGTGCCATGTTGTGCAAAGATGGTCTCACTTTTAGTGCTTTTGGTGTGCATTGTTGGGGCCACATAAAAAGTCTTAAGTTATGACTTTAGTAGACTGAGGTAACTGCCAAGCTCATTCGATGGAATGCCATGTTCTATCTACAAATGAGTCAAGTACTCTGTAACTTTAAATATGCTTGAAATAACCAAAAATATTAAATATTAAAAACCATTACCATAAACATTTTCAATATATTATTCACAAATACTTGTGGTCTTCAAGTAACTTTCCATCAGTTGAATCTTGCCTCTTCAAAAACTCACCAGACTTGCATTCTCTTTGTGAGACTAATTTAAATTTGGCTGCTCCTTCTTCAGATTTCAGTATTGATGGCTACTATTCTTGATTCACAAAGAGTTGTTTTGGGTAGGTACTTATGCATTAAATTCACTTATTTGTTGTGAAACCATGTTTGAATACTCTCACCATTCTTTTATGTGTTTCCGCTTAGCGCCTCCTCACTCTATCACCTTTCACTTTGTTCTTTATCGTTCTCCTTTTTCTCAAGCATTCATTTAGATGTTCTTTCTTTACAAGTTTAGCTCGCCTTTTTAATGTTACCTCTCTGCCAATATTGTTGTTATTAGTGACTTTAATGCTCAGCCCATTAAGTCGCTAATAACAACAACAATATAGTATAATTTATAATTCTTCAAATTAGTAATTTTCTTTGTTATGATTCTTGGGCTGATGTCTTTTTTCTATCTGCTGATAAATGCACCTCCTACATAACTTCCTGGATCCAGGCAGGTATGGAAGCTTTTATTGCTTTGCACCAGTTCTATGTCAAGCCTCATTCTACTCCATAGTTTTAACTTTTCTTGTACATCTGCTATATTTAATCATTTTTTTCACCTTATTCAAAAGAACAACTCTCTTAAGAAGTTCATTTCCAGTAACTTCTGGGGTACCTCAAGGTTCTATCCTTGGTCTTGTATTGTTTCTTATCTTCATAAATGATCTTTCTGGTAATCTTACCCCATAAAATGGTTCTATTTGCTGACGACTCAACTTTATACTTCTGTCTTGATAAAAAACTTTCTCTTTTTGATTGTTTAGAAACTGAACTTAAATCTCAATTTTGTAAGAGCTTGGGGCTTGCAATGGCTAGTAAATTTAAGCTCCAGCAAGATTCCAAAATAAGCAGTTTACTGCAAAGAACAATGGCAATACTATTGATATTTCTATATTAATGAATGGCAACCCTCTCACTAAGTCCTCTTTTTTACATCATCATTCTTCTCATGGAAACCGTATGTATAATCAATTGCAAAGTTACCATTTGCTGAGGTTGTTTCTCTTTGTCATGCCAACCATTATCTTTTCCTGATTTCATTCTCTACCTCTACAAATTTCTTTTTCATCCCTGTATGGAATACTGTTGTCATATTTGGGCTTCAGACAACATAGGTTTAACTACATTTATAATGAAAGTATTAAATATGTAAATGATTCTCATCGTCTTAAAGTTGCATCTCTTTCTCTTTTTTACAAATACTATCATGGTTTGCTCAAAGGAGCTATCATTTCTATTTCCTTCAACCTAACCTAATTCTCATTCGTCCCTGCATGCTCTAAAAACTTTTGTCTAGCTTTTATCTGGCACTTCAATCCTTTAGAACTCTCTCCCAACTTCATATTTTCCCAACTCGTACAATACTCAACTTTTTAAGAACATACAAGAACACATTCCTCTAAAGTGTTATAAGGTATAGCAATTAAACATAGGTATCAAAATTTGATAACTAGTATCTGAAAAAAACAGAGATTATCAGATGGATGTGCAGTGTAAAAAGAAAACAAGCAATAGTCTGTGAGGAAAGGTTAAAAACTATTGATATAGGATTGTTCTATTTAATTTATATATATATACATATATATATATATACGTATATATATATATATATATATATATATATATATATATATATATATATATATATATATATATATATATATATATATATATATGTATATATATATAAATTTATATATATATATATATATATATATATATATATATATATATATAATATATATATATATATATATATATGTATATATATATATATATATAGAGAGAGAGAGAGAGAGAGAGATACATATATATATATATATATATATATATATATATATATATATATATATATATATATATATATATATATATATATATATATATATATATATATATATATATATATATATATATATAGAAAGAGAGAGAGAGAGAGATATACATATATATATATATATATATATATATATACATATATATATATATATATATATATATATATATATTATATATATATTTATATATACATATTTATATATATGTATATATATATGTATATATATATGTATATATATATATATCTATATATATATATATCTATATATATATATATCTATATATATATATATCTATATATATATATATATATATATATATATATATATATATATATATATATATATAATATATATATATATATATATATATATATATATATATATATATATATATATATATATATATATATATATATATATATATATATATATATATATATATATATATATATATATATATATAATCATCTGACATTCTTCTATGGCTTAAAATCAAATAGTTATGTTGTATCCTTTTACAAAATTTTACTTTAAAAATATTATTCTGCTATTTAACACGTTTTTCAACTTTTTGAGTTCTCTTTTTTTCCTTCTCTGTACGCTCTAGCTTTTTTATCTTCTCTTTTTCCCTATTAAGTTTATCATTTAATTTCTTTTCTTCACTAGCTTTTTTTTGTTTTTCTCGTTGCTCATTTTGTTTATCAATAACATCTTGCACATTGGTGTTAACGAAATTTAATGTTAAAGAAAACAAATTTATTATTTAGAGAGAATAAGACATCAGTTAAAACAGTTAAAACTTTCTGAAACAAATTTATTTTCTATAGCAATACTCACAAGAACAAAATTTAAAAAAATTCAAATTCATTGAGTGTGATGACACCACACTCAACCTTTTTAAATATAGTTTACTTCATATAAACTAATATAAGTTTTATAACAAAAACCACTTTTAACACAAAATTTGCATTCCTATTTTTGTTCTTACCACTAAACGCACTTTAAGTGAGTAAAAAAATCATCATAAGAGGATGAAATTGCCCAAAATATGACATAAAGTAGTTAATTTTCTGATAGTATCTTTAGAAGTAAAGAAAAGCTAGATATTTAAAAATAGATAATGACTATTAACAACAAAACTTTTATAGAACTAATAGTTATACAACATTGGAATTCTATAATGTCAACATTCTAATAACAAACAGAAAATTCAAAACGAATCAACAAACGCATCAAATACATTACTTTTAGATCTAAAAGCTATGCATCTTTTAAATTAAAAAATTCAATAGCTTTAAAGCACAATAAATAGCTAAGACACTATTATACCAAATATTGTAACTTAATGAAGTGAGACAAAAGTATCTTAGTTAGCATGGTATTTAATAATTGTTACTTTAGTTACTATAACTGTTAATATAGCATTCTAACAATATAAAAATTTTTACATGAAATTTTTGATGGTTATGGGGGAAAAAAATTTTAAATCCTTAATATACCATAATACACATCAGAATAAAACTCTAACCTCAATATACGTACTATTGTTCTGTTGAAAAGATACTAGGTAGAGATGAATTTTTTAATATTCTGTTACCATCATCATCATTATCATCACTAAAATTAAAACAAAACATAAATCATAATGCACTTACACAGAATGTTTCTCATAATGCTGTTTTTAACGCACTCCAAGTTTACTTATACCTCAACTTTTTTCTCCTGTGTCTCTCTGCATACCCAATTATATTCCTGCTATCTCTCTGCATACTCAATTATATTCCTGCTATCTCTCTGCATACCCAATTATATTCCTGCTATCTTTCTGCATACCCAAACCATCTTAATTTTTATACACACTAACAAAAACATTTACTATTCCTAACTTCAAATCACTTATTATTCCCAAACTTTCTCTCTCTCTCTCTCTCTCTCTCTCTCTCTCTATATATATATATATATATATATATATATATATATATATATATATATATATATATATATATATATATATATATATATATATATATATATATATATATATATATATATATATATATATATATATATATATATATATTATATATATATATATATATATATATATGTATATATATATATATATATATATATATATATATATATATATATATATATATATATATATATATATATATATATATATATATATATATATATATATATATATATATGAGAAATTAATTTAGATGAATATTAGATAACAAAAGGTAACTATTAACATAAAATTATTTAAAATTAACTTTAAAATTATTCAAAATAATTATTAAAATAAATAAATTTTTAATTTTTAATATTGATATTAATAATAAAATATAAGTAAAGAGCAAGTCGATAAATGATAATTCAGAATTATATTTTCCAATTACTTATTATTATCTTATTTTTAGGGCAATTCCATGGGAAAACATTAAATTTTTATATAAAATCCAACCCTAAGTCTCAGAATATTCTTTGTTTTAACAACTTGACCACGGCTCTTTGCAAGTTTTGATAATTAACGCGTTTAAAAAAAAACAAAGCAAATTAAAACTAAAATAAAAAATCCTTAAACTGAAAAGAGATTCCTTAAAATAATATATAATACAAAGAAAATCTTTAAAATAATATATAATAAAAAAATTAACCTAAAAAAATAAAATATTCAAAGAATGATAAAATAAATAAAGAAAAAACCAGAAAAAAAAATCAAAACATTTATTAATTAATGTAAACTTAATTGTAAACAAAAGTAAAAAAAAAAATATCACAGCTCTAATAATCTTTATCATTCTTTCCCATGAATAATTAGGCTAATACAAGGGCCAATCCATTGTGAGGGAAAGGGTTGCCCCTCCCCTCAGATTTTTTATTTATTTTTTTAGAAATTGATGTTTAAAAACTTAAGTAACTTAAGCTGTTTAAAAGTGCCATGAAATTTAATAAAATTTTGTGGTGCAAGTTTAAAATGTTATTAAAAAATTAATAGGATACAGGGTGCAAATTCTAAAAAAATGTGCACGCATTTCTTAAAAGACAGAGAGAAAAACAAACATCACGTTTCTTTAATTTTGCTTATGTAAACGTTGCCGTTTGATTAGGATTTTTCAAAAGTTTTTTATTTATTATAAAAAATACACATTTAATATAAAAAATAATTAATTTCACAGACTTAAATTAATGCCAAAACATAAGTACTTTTTTCAATAGAGTCACTTTTGAGTAAAATAACTAAATACGCTATAGAAAAAGTAATTATGTTTTAGCATGGTTTTTGCATGCGCTCACAAATGCATACATAATTTTACTTAAAATGAATGCTTTTGCCAAAACTTCAAAAGAAACCATGCTCAAACATTTTGATTGGTTTCTTTTATTGAGAAAAGCGATCATAACGTATAACGATGGTTTCTTTTATGCTTTTAGCAATTACATTAAAAGTTCAAAGCAAATGTATTCATTAGAAATAAAATTTAGCATGCTTTTTTTTAAATTTCTTATTTTCCATAAAGTGAAATAATATTTGTTTGCATATTAAAACTTTTGCACTTTTTAAAGTTTTTTTGTTGTGCATTTATCATTAATT